AATGCAAACTCATAGCTGAAGCATAGCAATATTTTAAAATAGAAGAAAATTTCACAGTATGCCAAGTTGAAATAACTCAAGATAGAAAAAAAAAAATATGAGCAAAAATATAATCATATTAATTCAAATTCAACAATATCAATGAATTATCACATAATATAAGAACATAAGATAGTCTTTAAAAGTTTAGCTAAAAAGGTATTATATAATTTATCATTAGACTATACAAAGTTAATAAATTGGTTCTCATAATCAGTCAGATCAAATTTAGCAAATTTTGAAAAAAAAAACTATATTTATTATCTAGGTAAATTTTTTTCAAATATTTATTAAAAATTTTACATTTTTTATATGAGTTTTATGAAAATAAAATTAAAATCTAAGTTTCATGATTATTTTTAAAATATATTATGAGAACCAAAAAATTAACTTTGTATGTATAACCTTATACTTAATAAATAAATTTACATTATCCAAATTATTATAATTTAATAATAGGTGAAGAAAAAAGAACAAATTACTTTTGAACAAGTTATAAATAATGTAAAACTGTATAGCCTGAATAAGCAAAATGAATTACAAGCAGCATGTACAGAATGGATTATTATAGATTCTTTATCCTTTAATACACTTTATGAAAAAGAATTTCAGCAATTTATAAAAAAAATTAATCTACAGTTTAAACTACTATCTAATAAAAGATGTAAAAATTTTATAGCAGTAGTTTATCAAGATGGAATAACCAAACTTAAAACAAAAATTAATGAAACATGTAAATATGCTACTATTACCACAGATCTCTAGACTTCTAGATCCAAATTTGGATATATTGGTATTACAATTCATTAGCTCACACCTGATTTTGAAATTATTGATATACTTTTTACTATTAAACATATACGGTATCCTTATACAGCTAAAAAAATACATGATTATATTGATAATAAAATAAGTAAATTTGGTTTAAATAAAAAATTATTTTTAGGGGTTACTGATAATAGTTCCAATATGAAAAAAACTTTTACTATATAGGAAGATATTGAATAGTTACCCTGTTCTGCTCATACTCTTCAATTATCAGTAACAAAAAGTTTAAAAAAAATTGATTCTTATATAAAAAGGTTCAAAGAATTAGTAAAATTTTTTACAGAGTCAGTTAAACAATCTGAGCAGCTTGATGCTGCACAAATAGATCTTGCATGACAAAATCATATTCAAGAAGAGAATGTTGAAATTATTCGATTTAATCAGTTATCAGCTCTTGATATAGATAAAAAAATTAGTTCAAAAGAAAAGGATAATGAGGATAGAGAAATTGATAAATCTATAATAAAAGTATTATGTAATATCACTAATATTTGTACTAGATAGAACTCTAGTTACTCTTCATAGACAGGACTCTTGGAATTAAAAGATACAATAACGTAGTTAGCATCTGTGTTGCCTTTAAAAAAAGGAAAAGAAAATAAAAAAGATACACAAAAATTGTCTCAGTTACTATTAAAAGATTATGAATGAGATTTGTTAAAAAAAATTGTTAATATATTAAAACTATTTGAATATACAATAAAATTCTTTTCAAGAAGCAAGTATCCTACTCTTTTACTAATATATCCTATAATCCATGAATTACAAAATAAATTTATAGATTTTAGTTTAGAATTAAGCAATGATAATGAAGATAGCAATAATAAAAATAGTAAGTTTTATATTGATTCTACTTTAATAATGTGACGATGAATGTTTAAAGTTTGATAATTATTAGTAATTATTATAATTATTAATTACTATATCTGATATCAATATACAGTAGCAGATTTTAAATATTAATTATCATATTATATAATGTTAACAACTCAAAAATCTGCTAATTACTATAGAGATAAGGCATGTTCTTTATCACTGCATGTGCTTAGTCATTGAATGCAAAAATCAAATATATTTTTCTAACTTTCTTTCAAATTAATTAGATATGTTATTAAATTCTGAAAATGATGATGATACTTATTCACATGCTTCATTGTTACTACCTGATCTTGATCAAATAGAAAAGCAATTTAAAATTGCTATTTCTGACTCTCTAAATAAATATTAGCTCAACTTTCATGAAGTTGGATTAGTAGCTACCCTTTTAGACCCCGAACTAAAAAAATATCTGCATTTACAAATAGAGAGTGAGAAAAGGCTGAAATGAAATTAAGAAATAAATTTGAGAATTTACAATATATTAATATTACTAACAATGATCAACTAGTACAACAAACACCAATGTCAACAGTTACTGAAATAATGCAAAATCTATTTTTTGAAGGTATTTTTGGAGTACAGAATCAAGAAGATATGCCATTGGATGAGATAGCATGATATCTGAAGATTATCTCTATTAATTATGTCAATCCTTAGAAATGGTAGAGTGATCATAAAACTGAGTTTCCAATTTTGTCATTGTTAGCACATAAATATTTGTGCGTGCTAGCAACTTCTGTCCTATGTGAGAGACTTTTCTCAGATGCAGGAAACCTGATTACTCTCCAACGTACATGATTAAGCTTGAACATTATTGAAAAAATTCTTTTTTTTAAGTGTAATGCTGAACATTTGGGTAAGTTTAAAAACATGTATAATTTTAGATTTAAATATGATTTTTTTTTTACATGCAATTCTTAATTTTTTTCATGTTATTTGCAATAGGCTTAATCAAATAATGAAAAAAAAATTATACACTAAAAAAGGCGAATACAAAGACACAAGATAATCATTATAATTAAAATATGCTAATGCTTATACGTATCTATTAGAGGGATGTGCTATAAGATTGCTATGTATAAACAAAAATACATTTTGTTGTAATTAAGAAGGTTAAAGGTACTGATGGTAGATATAATCCTATTAGATGGGATAAACTAGTTAGAAAGGATTTTTACAAGAATTGCAATAATAGCTTAACTTTTTTAATGAAAAATGGTACCATTCAAAATTCTATTTTAAATTGTGTAATATAATCAGAATATGCAATTAGCTGTTATATTCATTATGGCCCATATTTTAGTTATTGCGGCATAATATTATCACAAAGGATCGAAAAGAAATTTTATGTGTTATTAAAGATAGGGTATATAGGTAGCGCTAAAAATTTTTATAGATAAATTTTCATTTTATCTTTTTTTTTTTTTTTTTTTGTGCATTTTGCAGTAAAATTTTAACTCTGAAAGTAGCGATAGAGATTAAACTGGAATAAATTGAATTGTGAATTTGACTAATTAGCGTTAGCAGTTTAACATTATCTTTAATAATCTCCCCTAACGTAATATAAATAAATAATACAAGCTTTAGACATTGTTAATACTGGGTCTTGCGATATGAATACATTAGATGACTAAACTATAAATGATTATTAAATGATTAAATAGCCAAACAATTAAACAATCAATAAACGGTTACATCGGATAAACAGTTAAATGGTTAAATTAATAAATGGTTATACGATTAATTAAATAAATGGTTATGCGATTAATAAACAGTTATACGATTAAATAAATAGTTAAATGATCAAGTGATCAATAAACAGTTAAATGATTAAGTGATTAATAAACGGTTATATGATTAATAAATGATTAAACGATTAAGTGATTAATAAACGGTTAAACGATTAAACGGTTAAGCGATTAAATAAACGATTAGATGATTACGATTAAATGGTTACGATTATATGATTATTAATCGTGTAACTTCTAATTAGGCGATGCGATTAATCGCCAGTATAAATTTTCACGGTTCCAAACCTTAATATGAAGTAACAGTCTGAAGTTGTACATTGCCTAAATTGTAAACTTAAGACACGACATATACATATTGTAAAGCTAAGTGTACAATGCCCATTGTTTTGCATTGCAGCAATTTAGATAAAAACAAATATTTCTCAAAAACAACTATTTCTTACTTTCACTATA